GACGTGAGTGAGACACCTGGCATCGAGGAACACGGGCGTGACTCCAAGCGCCCTGGTGAACTCCGCCCTCGACTCTAGGGTCATGCTGAACACGTTCTCGACGAACCACATGGTGCGCTTGGGAAAGGCAGCCTCCGCTGCCTGGATCAGCTCGGGGACCCGGAAGAAGAGCCTCGACCTCGACCCCTCTAGGCCGGTCCCCACGACATTGATGCTCGCAAGGTCTTGGCACGGGCTCCCCGCGGTCAAGACGACCCAGTCGGCGTCCCGCGCGTAGCCCTTCAGCATCTCAGTAAACCGCGCCGCGTCGACGGCCTCGATGTTGCCAAGCTCAATCACGCCCGCCCAGCGGCGACGCACCAGTCGCCGGGCAGCGGGCTCGACCTCGCAGCTGACGTGGGCCATCACGTCGATCGGGAGTCTGGAGGCCGCCACCGCGGCCCCAGCAGCGCCAGCGAAGAGCTCGATGAGAACTATGCGAGGGCGCCACCGCACACCACGCACAGGAGCCGCAACTGCACCAGGCCGCAAAGTCACTGCTGATGCTCCCCCTCTCGCGCAGGCAACGCCCTGCGCCGAGAGCCCGGCCGTGTGGCAAATGCCCCCGGCGCGCTCGCTGGCATCGGTCGCAATGACACAAGTGTCGATCCTTGCGCGCAGGTCGGTGTATGCCAGCGGCAGCGCCATCGCGAAGCCCAAGAGCTCGTCGCACATGCCAAGGGGAACAGCCTGCGGGCGCGTCCAGCGCCCAGCAGCCCACACGCTGTTGAGGAACCCCATGAAAGGCCTCCTGAACTCCGCTGCCCTGACGCACCTGCCTAGGATCATGAGCATGCCCTGCGACGAGAGGCCCTGTCTGCCCATGCCCCACAGGATGAACGCCAGCAGCTGGTGAAGCTTCTCGGTCGTGACCCCGACCCGGCCGACGGCCCCGTCAAGACCCGCGCCCATCCGCTCCAGGACCAGCGCGCGGTGCTTGGCCTTGCCGGGGGCGACGCTGATCCCCGAGCGGCCGTAGGCGGCCCTCTGCTCCTCCTGCGCGCAGCTCATCGTGCCGAGGAGCTCCGCGACCATCGCGTTGGGCACCACCTCGCCATGGTCCCAGTCGTCGATGTAGTACTGGATCCACTGCTGCTCGAGCTCCTTCGACTTGAACGGAAGTGGCCGGTCCTTGCGCCACTCGAGCTCCGCGGGAAACCCCGCAGCGAGGGGGCGAGAGCCGAACCCGAGGCGCCTGTGGCAGTGCTGAAACACCGTGACCGCGTTGATCCAGCCCATCGGGATGACGCGCAGCGCGAGGTGTGTCTTCCCAGGACCCGGCACGCCGATGAGCTCGTTCGGGATCGCCTCCGCGAGGGTCATGTACGGCTGCCAAGCCTCGGGCAGCTCGTAGCAGTAGAAAGCGGAGGCTTGGTCATCTGACGACCAAAGCAGCATGTGGCCCTCTGGGAGCGGGATGGCGACCCACGAGGGCGACGCGCTAAGGGTCCCGATGTCGTCCCTCATGATGCGCTGGTAGCTGTTGGCCGGGACCATGTTGATGATCAGGCGCTGGACGCACGCCTGGCCAGGTGACGGCGTGCCACCCTTGGCGACACCAAACGCCCCGGCGAGCACCTTGCGGTTCCCGACCTTGAAGATGCGGTCGTCGGCGATCGGCGCAGCCAGCCCCAGCTCGACGAGCTTGGTCCCGATACTGTACCACTCCTGCTTGGACGTGACCTGGATCGCCGCCCGCGGGACCTCTGCAGGCCACTCATCTCGAGGGAGCAAGGCCAGCGTGGGGTCGGCAAGCCAGGCGCCCACCTGAGCGTCCGCGATGTCGAGCGCCTTGACAGAGGCGGCGACGCCCCGCGCGGGGAGGCCTGGCATGATCCCCGCAAGCGAGAGTGGCAGGGCGCGGGACGTCTCCTCGCCCCCGTAGGAGACGGTCCTCGACGCGATGACCTGGTCCCAGTCCGGGAGCTCGAAAGATGTGGCGGCATCCTGAACGAAATACTCACAGGCCTCCTGCACAATGCCGAGCGCACTGATCTGACTTGCCGTGGGCCGCCTCGCGGCGACGGTTGGACAACGCATGTGCCCCGTGTACTGGTAGTTCAGGCTGAAGACCACGAGCTGGGCCCACCCCTGCGCCGCGGCGGCGTCCACCTCGCAGGTCTCCGGCAGCTGCTGGTGTAGGTGCCAGGCGGCACGGTACCTCTCAAAGAGCGGGGCGTCGGGCAGCGGTAACGGCAACACCTCGCGCAGCCGCGCGAAGCTGGCCGTGGGGTCTGGCGAAGTGCACATCCTACGAACGTACCGCCCGATCGCCCCTGGCGAACCGTGCACCGCCTCGTGGACCGCGAGGGCGAGCCTGAACTTGGAGCTGACGCCCGTGCCCACCTCGGCTAGCATCTGGCGCCACCGCCGAGCCTGCGAGCTGCCGCGTAGCTGCCGCTCAGGCGGGCGGAGGGCAGGCAGGGGCGTGCTCGGGGCCGCGGCCTTAGCCGCGTCGGCCCTCACGCCCGAACCCAGGCCGTCCTGCGAGCAGCGCTCGTGCCGCGGCTCTTCCCCGTCTTGCCTTTGCCGCGGCTCTTGGCAGCCAGCGGCCTCCCGATGCGCGCCTTCCATGCTGCCTGGGTCTCGCCCTCGCGCCTCGGGTGGGCCACCTTGTGCTGCGCGAAGCTCCGGCCTGCTGCCGCGTCCGCTGGTGGCACGCGGGCGGCGGCTGCTGCGTCGAGGTCCCCCTCGGAGTCGCTCAGGAGCTGGACCGACCGCGTGGGACTGCGGCTGGTCCTCCGCGCTGCTGGCTGCTTCCCCCCGGCGGGGGGAACTGCGGGACCGTCGCCTGGAACTCGTCCGGCAAGGATCCTCATCGCCTCGGGCGATCCCGAGACTGGCGTCCTGGGAGCAGGGGGCGGGGGGCGCGCCTCCGCGCGCCCATGGCCTGCAGGTGCCGTCCCCCCCTGCAACGGAGACGGCTCCCGGCCAGACCCCTAGCCCGGCCTGCGGTCTGCAAGTCGCTGGCGGAGCTCGGCGACCTTCAGCTCCCGGGCCTCGACCTTCTCGGCAGCGTTCTCCTCGTCCAGAGAGGCGCCTGATGGAAGCTGTTCCTGCGCGACAAGCGTGAGCCACCGTGCCGACCGCCAGTTCCCGTCGCGGATGGCCATCGTCCGCGCCTTGAACTCCTGCATGAGCAGATCCGCAGTCTCGACGACCTCTCCGCGCAGGATGCCGTCGAGCGCCAGTCCCAGCGTGCGGAGGACCCGCACCTCGTCCGTCCCCAGCGTCCGCGGCGGGTGAGCAACGAAGAACACCGTGTTCAAGAACTGCGTGACACACGGGGCCAGAGGGTCGGCCTCGCCTGCGGACAACTGCTGGGTGAACTGGCTGCGCAGGTGGCCGAGCCCGTTCTCGAGGAGAGCGCCGGGCCGCTGCCGAGCGATCCTGCGGAACAAGTCCCGCTTGATGCCCACGCCCTGGTAGCGGTCGCGGCCCCCAAGGCGCTCCGTGTCGCTCTCCGCGCCGTCCTCCGCGTCGTCGTCGTCGCGGCCCAGGAGCGCCGCGGTCAAGGCTGATGCCAGCCTGGTCCTCGACCCAGCGGCGCCTGCGCGCGCAGGGGCAGCAGCGGCGGCTCGGCCGGCCACCACCTGCGCCAGGCGCTCGCCTACCGCACCTGCTGGGCGCGCAGCGTTCTTGGGCGTGCCCTGCCTCGGCACACCACGAGCTGCCCTGCCCCCGAGCCGCGCCAGCCGCGCCTCGAGCTCTGGGTCCTCGGCAGTCTCCTCGAGCCCTGCAATCTCCTGGTCGAGAGGGCTCGCCTCTCCTGGTCCGCCTGGGGTCGGGGTGCCCTCCACCTCGCGGGCCCGCTTGCGCGGCGGCCCTCGAGGCTCCTCCTCGTCCTCGTTGCCCCCATCCCCGAGCGGCCAGCCGCCGAGCTCTCCAGGCAATGGCTCGGCCGCGGGCGCATCGGTCATCACAAGCGCTCCAGGATCCGCGGCCGGGCAGATGAGCTTCGCCTGCTCGCGGGCCACGTCGCGGGGGTCCACCACCTGCCACACGTCCAAGTGCTCGACCACTGCGCCCACAGGAGCGACCGCCCCGCACTCGTCGGCGCTGCACTTGCAGAGGTGGAAGACCGTGGCCAGGGACCGCGCGCCCCGCTGCCCGCAGGAGGCTGCATACCACGAGTAGTACGGGTCGCTGGCGCCCACATGCCGGCCCTTGAAGTACCGGCCGAATGCGTCTGCCTGGTAGGCGACCTCCACCTCGAGCATCTCGACGCCCTGTGGCGCCCCGTAGTCGTCCTTGACCCGCGCCAGGACCCGAGCTCCAGCCGCCAGCGGCAGCCCCGGCACCAGCTCGCCGTTCAGCGCTGCGTCGAGCCAGGCCCCCCGCGGGAAGGGCCACCCGACCGCTGTCGGGGCTGCCCGCTCCATCGGGCTCCTCGCCAGCAGCTCCGCGGGAGAGGGGCGACCCGCGCCCGGGATCCTCGTCTCCCAGCCAGGTCTTCGCTCCCCTCAACCCAGTAAGGCTGCCAGCGAGGCTGATCAGAATCAGTCGGCCGAGCGTGGCCCTCCAAGCGGCCGCGCTCGGCGCGGCAACCTTCAGTAGACAGAGTGGCTCGGCAGCGGCCACAGACGGGCGGGACCGCCCGGTGACTCCGCTGCCTGTCTCCAGCCAACACAGCTACGGAAGATGGATGAAACTCAACCGTTCCCCATCAACGGCGTCGCGCACGCTCAGGTGGACTCCGCATAGGCTTCCTTGGAAGGTCACTATATGTATAGGTGTATATATATGTGTGTTCCTATATCGTCAGAGGTGTGGCGACGACGGCGGCGCTGACGACGACCGACCAGCGGCGGGGAAGCAACGACCGACCAGCGGTGGCCCAAGTGCTGCGGCGGTTGGGAGTCTGGACCGCGACGCTCACGGGAGACGCGCACTCTCACACACACGTGGGCTGTCTGAACAGCAGCCCGGCAAAAGGCGGCAAGGAACCACCCGCGCAGCGC